TGTGTGTGTGTGTGTGTGTGTATAAACGGGGAGTATTGACTGACTGACCGAGTGACTGACTGTGTGACAAGTGGGTGGTCTGTTGGCTTGATCGCTGTTGTTGTTGTTGTTGAGCTGAGGTGGGGTGTTGGGTTCATTGTAAAGATGTGTATGGGATATTCTTTTGTTTTTGTGGTTGATATGGTGTGAAAGCATGTTGATGGGTGTGTGTTGGTGTGGTTCGTGTGTATGGAATGTGAGGTGTGTAGGTTGTTGTGGCTGACGCCGAAGCCATGAGACAGACTGATCTCTTGGTCCAAAGTTTAGCCTACAGTGTATGGTGTGGTTTGGTCGCGGGATAGGACTTTCTGCCTGTCTGGCATTACCCAGCTCACCTAGAGGAGTTTTGTGTTTTATTTGTTTGAGAGTGTTTTTTGTGGCTGAGGAGAAGTGAATGGCGTGTCAAACTGACCGTCAGTGCATTGTCCGGCCTTCATGAGGTTGTAATTGTGAAGCAGTTGTTCTGTTTGAGACATGCTGTTTCCGAATGAAGGCGTACATTGAGTGTTGTTGGTCTGTTGGTTTGCGGCTGTGAAGCGAGACAGTCGTATGTCGTCGGACCGGACATTGAATGGAATGTGTCGAGTCGAGTCGAGTTGAGTGTATGTTATTTGTGTATTTGTGATTAGGGATTTTGTTGTTGTTGTTGGATTTGAATGTGAGTGATGGTTTGAGACGTGTGTATTGTGTTTCAGATACTTGCATACAAGACCCAAGTGTGGTTATTCGCCTCACCCCACCTGGCCAACCGGATGGATCTGCAGAATTCACCTTGTGTCTGTCATTAGATGCTACAACTAGCTCACGAGGATTGGCTGGTTTTGAAATAGCCTTGAGTACTAAGCCCGAAAAGACATTATTTGGCTGGATCCCGGTAGATAGCCGAATGTGTGCTGTCCGTCTGAACGGATCAGTGAAACGGAGAAAGGACTGCACTACTCGCCGATGCCTTTTCATAATCTCCGCCTACACCCCCACTGACTGCAGTTTGGTTGAAACGAAGGATGACTTCTACCAAAAGCTGTCTAGTTTGCTGCGAAAGGCTAAACGCTCAGATATAGTCGTTTTAGCTGGTGACTTTAATGCTCAAGTAGGGAAATTGTGTCAATCCGAGAAGAATGTCGGTGGCACATACGGAATTCCGTGCCAGCGAACCGACAACGGTGACCGTCTCCTACAGTTCTGTTCAGATAATCATTTGTATCTTGTAAGCACTAACTTCAAACCCAAGGAGAGACACTGTTTGACCTGGCGAGCCCCATCATCAAACCAACGCTGGACACAAATAGACCAATAGCAATAATCTATCGTTGGCGTGGGTCGGTAGGATATTGTCGCTCCCTCTGGAACATGTGTGTAGATACCGATCACTCACTGATCCGCGCTCGTGTATGCTTACGTCTGAATGGACGTAGGAAACAGCTGGCGGTAAACCTATCACGTCCCCAGCTCGACCAGCGAACTAAGTCCCTATTTGAGGAGGAACTAGCTTAACACATATCTGAGTTCAACAGCTGCGCTCACCCTGAAGAAGCCTGGAAGAATATTCAGTCAGCCATAGATACAGCTATAAAAGCTGTGAATAAGGTAAATCCAAAGGTGAGTAAAAACCATTGGATTTCGACTGCCTCATCCGAACTGATAGATGCTAGAAGACTTATTCCTGCGAGCTCCGAATTCAATGAGGAGCGAAAGCTGCACAAAAGGAAACCTACGAAAAGTCTCCGCAAGGACCGTGAACAGTGGTGGTTGACAAATGCGAACGGGATGGAAAAAGCATCGGAGATTGTGAAGCAGTTTTGTTTGAGACATGCGGTTTCCGAGTGAAGGCGTACATTGAGTGTTATAGGTCTGTTGGTTTGCGGCTGTGAAGCGAGACAGTCGTATGTCGTCGGACCGGACATTGAATGGAATGTGTCGAGTCGAGTCGAGTTGAGTGTATGTTGTTTGTGTATTTGTGATGAGGGATTTTGTTGTTGTTGTTGCATTTGAATGTGAGTAATGTTTTGAGGCGTGTGTGTTTGGTTGTTGTTTTTAAGGTTTTTGACTTTGTTTGTGCCTGGTTGGCGTCTGTTTTTTTGGAGTGATGATGAAAATAGAGTATAGGTTATTTTGAGAATGGAATTATTTAGGTGACATTTTTCTGTATGTGTTACGGAAATTATTCACTGAATGAATGACGAACTGACTATCTCACATTTGTGTGTTCTGGTAGCTTGAAGGGTTTTTTTATTCGTTGTAGGTTCGTGGTTAAGTTGTGTACGGGATATTGTTTTGTTGTTGTGCAGATGGTGTGAAACTCTGGGCTCAGCTTTTTGTGTTTGATAAAGTGTGTGATATTTTGAATGTTTTTCTGTCGTTTTTGTTTTCTCTCAGTGTGGTTTTTTTCTTTATTATGTGTTTTTGTGCGTCGGTAGCACAGTGGTTAGGACTCCCGCCGACCATGCACATGGTCCGGGGTTCGATTAGCTGCCGACGCACACCCGATATCTATGGTCGGACTGTAAAATTTGGGCAACAGATATCCATACTGAAAATACCGTACTTCTACCAAAAGTACTGTGTGGAATCAAGCTGTAAACAAAAATAAAAAATAAAAATTATGTCTTTGGAGTATGTGAGTAGATGTTTTTGTTAATGTTATGTCTCTATCTGTATTTAGGACACCTGTGAGTTTAGAAATGTATTTGGTTTTGTTTTAGATGGGTGCTCTTATAAGTCAGTTGTCAGCTTCTATGATCATCTGCTAAATGTATTGTTTTTTTGTTACGTGAGTTTTGTTCATTCTTACAGTGGTTGGACTTTACCATTTGGATGATGCTATAAGGATGATATACAGGATTAGGAGGTCTCTTTTTGTGGAATTTGGATAATTATCTTATGAATCTAGGCATTCCGTTCATCTAATTGATTTTCATTCATTTATTCTCCTTAATGAATTTGAATAAAGCAAGAACAACAGCGGATTTTACAGAATAAAATGGTACCATCATTGCTTATTTCGTTACCTTCTCATCAGCTTCTTACAGGCCATAGTCATTATTAAGTATATCTGCACAAACAATTTTAACATACGTGCACAGAGAGTTCGTTTTTAAAGAGAAATCAATCAATATATGCATACAGTATATATGTATATATGTATAATATTTAACGCTATTCTGAACAATAGTAACCATACACAATGGAAACTTTCGGCATTACGTATTCAGATGAAAGAGAGGTGAAAATATCCAGTTACTAGGATGGGCAAAGAAAGACTGATAACTGCTTCTTTCTGAACACAGAAATCAGATTTCATGTGCTTGATGGAGATGGCTTCAACATACTTGTGGAGAATTGAACTCTTTTGCCTATTGATAATTTTGAGCTATCTTGCGACGTCCACCTTATGCAGACCCTTGTCAAGGAGATACCTGACGATGGCACTGTTCAAAGTATTTGTTCCCTTTAGACATACATAAGCTTTTCGGTACATGTTCAGAAAATCGTAGATATGCCCTTCTTTCTGTCCTTCCAATGTAACTGCTCCCGCAGATACATGTAAATTTGTATATACAGTTGGAGTTAACATGGGAAGGATATCTATCGATTTTTGATTGCACCAAAGAAGAGCAAGTTGTTCGATAGACGGGAATGAGCTTAGCTGCAGGATAGGCTCTGCCTAGTGACGTCCTCAATCTTCTGTTGACAATTGCTGTAATATTTTCACCTTTATAATCAAGTTGAATGTAGATAGATGGGCTTTTTCTCTACTATGATTTGTTTGACATTTGAGCCTTCAAATCTTCCATACTTGTTAATGAATCTTTGAGAAGACAGTTGCAGCGAAGAAAATTTTCTTTTCGACGAAGTCACCGTCAACTAGGCTGTACATTCGTGTATTTATGTATCAAATGGATGGGAAAGTTCCAGAATAATTTCCGGTCAAGGGTCAAAATTAACAAAAATTACAATTAGGAATTAAAATGACATAATAAACAGGGAGGAGGGACGGATGAAACTCAAACAAAGTAGCATCATAATTACTGAGAAGATTGACATATTGTACAATTAGGGGTTAGAAATGTAGAAATAACAAAATAGACAAGAAGTTTGGATATGAAAATATGGTAGTGTAAACATGGATTAAGAAAAAGTTAAAAATAACAGGAATAAACAGGAAGTTTGCATAAGAAAGGCGATGGGATGGTCATTACTAAAAGGATTACCTGTTTATGATGGCCATGGCAGGCAGGGACAAGGGTTGGACGTATTTCTTTTGGATACAAAGCGTGTAGGTTTGAGCTTTTGGATAGCTAGTGCCTCGGCTATGCCCAGATGTCTTAATTTCACTCCCTTTGATAGGTTTGATTGAATCTTGTATAATATTACTTTGAAGGATTTTTCGAATGGCGCTGAATGTCCTGAATTGACCAGATGTTCTGTCACTGAGTTATATATACACACGTTTTCGGTCTCCTTTTACTCTAGCCAGGCTGGATAATGTTCACGAGCGTGTGTTTCAAGTTGGCACATGGTACGGCCGACGTACTCAGCTCCACAAGAGCAAGTGAACTGGTATATGCACGTTCAGGTGGCCCAATGCGACAGCTTGTCTTTCGCGTTTTCGCTGAACAGTTTCTTGCAAGAAAACGTCAGTCGTAGGCTTGCAGCGAAGTGTGTTTCCTAATTAGTGGCGTTTGTGAAGGATTTTTGCTTCAATATCACCTTTGAATTCTAGATTAAGCAGAAGTATTTTCTTTGGAACGGTACTTGTTATTTCTTAGGTTTGAATCTTGTCTATGTTTATCAGTTTCGGAGATTACGCAGTTCTTCTTCGATCACTTCCTCTCTGCATATCTTCCGAATCCTCGAGGAAAGAGCGTATATCAGGTTCCTCTTTCTGTGTTCACGAGCGCGTTTTTCAATCTTTGAGAGTAACCATTGCTTTTTATTTTATTTTATTATTTATTTTGTAGGCAGCTTTAGAAGCTCTTACAGATTTAGATTTATTCGGCGCTGATGGAAGTTATCAATCGACAATTCGTGTTTCATTAGATGAATGTGAACAGTGTAATATAGCTATTAAAAGTATGCTGCCAAGAGAATCAAATTCTAAAGAAACTGATGCTGGATTATTAAGTATCCTAACATATCCTGGATTTGCTGTCACAGATGATGAATTAATTGAATGTACTCGGAGTGCAATTATTCGAAAGTTATTAGGCAGGTGAGGAGGAGTGTAGTAAGCCTTGCAACTCTGATTGTTGCGCTTATTTATTTATTTTTGTTGTTGCTTCTTTAACAGTGTTTACCCCTCCAACAAACCCGCATGCCACCCCCGACCACTGTGAATGATCTGGAACATCTGAGAGTGGGTAGACTTTTAGTCTTCCTCTCAGTGACTTTGATAGTCACTGCATGCCTAACCATCACCTCCCCCGACAGACGGGCATTACTAGCTGATATAGGTGCAGGTTGGAAAAGAGTAAGTGGTGGCCAAACAAAAACATGCCATCAATCAATCCATGAAATCCTTAACAGTTAAACTGAGTCAGGTAGGGGGGAGATGCAGACTTCCGGGTTGGGGCCCGACCTTGGGACTCTAAGAATCAATGGATGGAGACAATAGGTGACATGGCTCAAAATCCTCGTTGTCAATGGCTTACGCAGATGTATTCAGTCTCTGTAATCTTTCATATTCCTTTCTACCATTACTCATTCTGTTTCACTCACTCTTTTACTTGTCAAAACTCTATTGATTCTCTTCACTCATCTTCTTCTTGTGTACCTTTGTGTGGTATTTGTAACGTGGCAACTGGAACTGCTGCACTTCGGTGCCGAGTTCTATGTTGAATCTAGACAGACAAACAGACAGATAGCCACTGCCAGCTAATTTCCATTCACTGCTGTCGTACAGTGAGGGTGTTGTTCCTCACCAAAGTGTGAACGGGCGAATGGGAATGTTTGACGCTAGAATCCTAAATAATCGAATGACGGCAACCGTAGGAACATAGCTCCTGACGCTCCTCTGCCTTGTGGATGAGACTTGAAGTCGACAGCTGGAGGGCGGGGAGAGAGGTTGTGGCGCCTTAAGATAACCACCTGTTTCGGTCTGGGCATCTGGGAAGGACCCCAGCCTTCGCATAAATTATGAGACAACTTGTGTAGTGCGTCCCTTAGTGCTTTGTGTTTGTTTGTGATTGTGTTTTAATAATAACGAAATGAATCTGTCTGTGTGTTTTCGACATAGAACTTTGCACCGATGTGTGCCAGTTCAAGCCGCCACACTCCCGTCCATGTACCACACAAAGCAAGAGAAGAAAGTAGGAGAAATGCATGATATAGACAGTAAACAGAGGTGTGAGACAAAGGAGTAGTAATAACGGAGAACAAAACAGTTTAATTGGAAATCATAAGTCACAAGGAGTGGATGCATCTGCGCCCCTGAGAACGATCACTTTGAGCCATGTCACCAATTGTTTCCAACCATTGCTTTTTACTGTCCCGAGGACGCCAACCAGGAAGTCTACATCTTCCTACGTGGCTGGCTTAAACTAACTGTTGTAGATTTCATTGACTGGGGGGGGGGGCTGATGGTACTTCTCAAGTAAGTGAAGCGGTCAACGTGCTCTACCACTTCACTCCCTATTTCTAATCTAGGAGTCAGTGTAGACCAATTCTGCAACTTCATCTTACATTTTACAGGGGTTAATCGCATGCCAAACATACGAAGATTGCTGCTCAAGTTGTTCAGACGACTAACGAAATGAATCTCAAACATGATTTTTGTATGTGTTTATTTGTCGACGAAATGAGAGATGTTGTGTGTTAATTGACTTCAATTTACATAATTTAAGATAAGGTTTACAAAGAAGGTAAATAGCGAACATTTATATCTCTGTTTCTAATCACAACCAACGTAAGCTGAACTGAAACTGAAGGAGTGTCAGTGTTGCGTGATTGTTAGAGCCCAGCAAACGACTACTTCAATCCTTTTAAAACACATTACCTGTTTGAAATGGTTTTTGAGGGTGTATCTATATGAATATCTCACCGTCGGTTTCGAATCTGTGCAGGGGAAGGTGGGATGTGTAGCTCTTGACGTTCGTCCACCTTTTTAACATGCCTATCCCGTGTATTAGAGAGGTCAGAATACTGTTATTACACACTGATTCGCTATCTGTCTCGCTATCTGTTTTCAACATAGAACTTTGCGCCGATGTACTGCAGTCCAAGCCGCCACACTCCCCACATGTAGCACACAAAGCAAGAGAAGAAAGTAGAAGAAACGCATAACAGAGACAGTAGAGAGGGATATGAGACAAAGGAATAGTAGTAAAGAAGAACAATATAGTTCGATTTGAAATTATAAGTCACGAGGAGTGGATGCATCTTCGAAATCCATTGAGAACTATTTTGAGCCATGTCACCAATTGTCTCCAGCCACTGGTTTTTACTGTCCTGACGGTGCCAACCAGTCAGGAAGTCTACACTTTCCTACGTGACTTAAGCTAACTGTTGTGGATTTCATTGACTGATGAGGCCATGTTTTCGTTTGACCACCACTGGCTCTTTTCCACCCTGACCATATGTCAGCTAACATTATTGCCTGCTGTCGAGGAAGGCGATGGCTATTGGTGCATGCGTAACATTTCCTAACCATCTTAGTCGATGTAGCTTCACAGCCTCGTCGATTGATTTCCCCTCCTTACCTATCACTCGATGGCTAACCTCAATATTGCTCACCATATTATACCTACCGTTTATCACGGGAGATAGAACGCAGGCACCTATGATCAAAGACAGCTAGCTGGTCTTTTCATGTCTTCCACTCTCAATGGCCAGGTCTCACAGCGAGCCATAAAGGAGGACGGAGCGGACTGATGCTGAGCAGTACACACGCCCTTTGGTCGACAGCCAGTCGGATATCACGTCTACGCCGATAGTACAACTTCGATTTTAGACCCCACCCCTAACATAGTGTAAATGACTTACACTCCACTCACTGTGAATATCAACCAATCAAGTTGTATTGTCACCTATTACACAATAGGTACAACTCTTTGGCCAAGTTTTTGTTCATGCATGTACGTGCTGATTCACATTTCGAAATGTATGCCCAGTGCTCCATGATCCCCTCCTCATGGTTATCAGGTTTATTCCAAACTATGGTATAAATGTAATACCGCCTGAGTGGGGTTTACAATGATTCAGTGGTCTCCATCTTGATCTACACCTTTGAATACTGGCCTCTCCGAAATGAAAGTGTGAGGTGACTCTATTTGTTCGACGTGCGTCCGGTGATGTATGTGAATTCATCTTCAGACACCAGCTCTGGCGGCCTGGACTTGTGTTACTAATGTCATCACACCCTGGTTCGCTTACTTTTCACTGGGACTGGGTGCAAAAAGCGGAGGAGACACCCTGCTAATGCGTCATAACTCCCTGGGTGGGATCAAAGAGGTAAAACCAAACCACTGACTCGAGATGTTATCCAGTATAACTTCAGATCGTTAACCATGGCGAACATTCTGTGACTCTAGTACTGGTTTGTATGGTTAGTAATAGTTTCTAATCTTTGATTCATTTCACTTCATAGATATGGTTGTCGACGATTTCTACGTGATGGATATCGTACAGCTAGAGAAGATGTAAATCGTTTATATTATGAACCATGGGAATTACGTATGTTCGATGGGATTGAATGTGAATGGCCAATGTTTTTCGCCTGGTTAGTGATTGATGCAAGTTTTCGTGAAGATTTCGACGATGCAGATCGTTATATGCAAATGCTTCAAGAAGTTGTTATACCAGAGGTACCTATATTATTTTTATTCTTGGTTATAATGGTGATTAATTTTTTTTTTCATTGAAATATATACAGGAATGTATCGGGCAAAGTTTAACAATAGCGTCCCAGGAGTGCGAACGCACGAGTGACCTTCAGCTGACCAATCATAAAAATGAGGAGGAATGTTTGCTCAAAAAATGATGTATATTGACAAGAAAATGCTTGAAAACGCATTAAAAGCAGATTATCTTTCTCCGATATGGCTTAAAAATACGTCCTAATTGTAACGAGGAGTATCAGTTCCTAAGTTAGACTAGTTTCTGTACATGAGTATTCACCGAGATGACTACAGATAAACTGTTTTTGTGAATCGTTTATCTCTCTCATCCTGCTTGCAGTCTTCCAAAAAAGCCCGTGGTTGAATTATTATAGTTTCTAGCAAGAGGATAGACGACTAATTACCAGGAAAACATGGATAATAAAAAAATTAAAATTAATGACATCAACTATAAATCGATCCTTAATCGAAACCATAAGCTTAATACTGACCCTAACACTAAACCCAACCTTTAATCCTAACCCTAATCATAACCCTTATTCAAACCGTAATCCTAACCCTAATCATAATTATAACTCTGATCCTAACCCTAGCGAGCTATTAACACATTGTCCAAACAGTAGCTAAAATCGTGATCTGGGTGAAATTTGTTCCCAAGTTGGTAAATAGCGTTGATATTTCAGCTATGATAATGACAGATACTGTTGGCCAATGACTAACATGCGTTCAAAGTTGTTGGAGCGTTCACACTCCTGGGACGCGCTATTGTTGAACTTCGCCGTTATTTAGACATTTTCAAACAAAATATACTTGCTCAACTGTTGTTATTATTTCACAGACCCTGTTGACCCTATTAAACAAAATAATATAATCTGAAAAATACTTTGCGATGACTGTGAGTAAGGTCAACTACATAGGTCAAACTAGTAAGATCGGGGGTAATCAGATTGTGGGAACATAAGAATTTAGCTAAGGTAAGAATGGTTGACCGCGAGAAGTTAAGGAATTTAGAAAAAAGCTCAGCAATTGCACTGCATGCATTAGCATACAACCACACAATATGGTGGGAGAGGGTTAAAATTCTACGAAGTAATATAGGTAGGTGGAGAGAGAGAAAGAGGTTGATTACTGAATCCTGCTTGGTTCATGGAGTCTACACCCAACACAACACATGCAATAGAAGTGACTCGACGCAAATACCAGAGATATGGAAGATATTACTACAATTCTTAAAATCAAGAGATGAGAAATAAGGGAATCATATAAAAAAAAGTTAGAAAGTTATGTGAGTTATATCTTGATATGATTATGAACAGTAATAAATTATGCTTGAAACGTGTTCATTAGTAAATATTATTATTATTATTTTCTATAGTTGATTTGTAATGGTTAGTTTTGTTTACACGAGGTGATCACGGATTGATATCAGTTAGAGGAACATTGAAAACCAGCCACAGGGAGTACTTGACAGCCAGCTGTTTCATCCTAGTTTTGGAATCATTGGGAATACGCACCCACTGGGGTTCGAAGCCAGGACCTTCCGGTTACAAGGTAAGCTCGTATACCATTGAGCCACCGGGACTCGATTTAATGGCTTATGATTTCCAAACTGGCTGTCCAGTACTCCTTGTGGCTGGTTTTCAATGGTTCTCTAACTGATATATCAATTCGTGATCCAACTCCTAAAAATATCATTATATTATAACAGCGCTGTGAGACATTATCAAAATAAACATTTTTCTCGCTTTAATGGAACTTTCCTATTAATAATCATATTATCAAGTTTGATATTGTTATTTTGATTGCCACGCCTTTTTATTAAATATTATTATTATGAATCACAATTAATGGACGATCGATAGTGTGACAGATAATCTTTGTCTTATACTGTAAAGCATAATTTCATTTCAAATATGTGTGCGTTTAAGTGTTTGTTTAGGTGTGGCATAGTGTGGTAGGTGGGCCCTTACTTACGCACATGTACGCATACGCACATGAGTCTTAAATGAGTCTTAAATCTAAGACCATTAGATTTCAAAAGCTATGAAGCCAAAAATAACAACAATAATCACTAATTGAATTTTAGATTTTCCCGTCGATTGATTGGACCGAAGTGCTCGGTCTCAGGTTGACATGTCGGTCGAATCAATCGACGGGAAAATCTAAAATTCAATCAAATAAATAATTAATATGACTCGTTGCACAAGAGGTGGCTCTCGTGGCCTAAGTGGTCTAGTGGATAACGCTTTGGCTGGCGTTTGAAACTATGGGCACTGGGTTCGAGCCTCGGTGAGAATATCATCATCCACTGAGGAATGCAGGTACATCCAGTTGGCTGGAGAGTCCCAAATAGGACGAAATGCGGATCTTGACTGGATTCCACTGTTAGTCACCATCCACTAATTAACTTATAATAATCACTTAGACTGGCGACTTAGGGTTAAACCTGTTACCTGGGAACAGTCTCATCTTCGTAGAGTATACTGATGACATCATTCTCCTTTAATGAAGACACTGACAAAATACAGCAGAGTCTTCTGAACAACTTGAGCAGATATCTCTGGATGTTTAGTATGCGAATCTCACCTCTTAAATGAACCGCACTTACCGCTAAGCTTAAAGATAGGAGGTGAACTGGTAGACCATGTTGATCATTTTACCTATTTGGAAAGTTACGTCAGCCTTTATGGACTGATTGGTGACGAAATCCCAGCATGGAACAAAAACCTTGTTTGGCATTCACCAAATTACGTCATCTCTGGCTTAGTTGGGAAATCCGGTAACCATAGATATTTTCATCCTATCTCTCTTTTATTGATACAATGAGTTGGGTAAGTCAGTCGAGATGAATAGAGTAGATGTTACGCATGTCGAGGCCCTTCTGTCCCGCGATGCACATTGCTAACCGACATAGGATTAAGTTGGAAAAGAGTTAGAGTTGGTGAAATCAACATCTGGAACCAATCCATGACGTCTTTAACCGTTAGTGTGAACCATTCCGTCCTTCTCTATGGCTCTGAAACATGGCCAATACGAGTTGAAGACATGAAAAGGTTGACTGTTTTTGATCATAGATGTCTACGATCTCTTTCTCACGTTAGGTGGTATAATAAGGTAAGTAATGTTGACGTTAGGCGTAGAGTGTTGGGCAAAGAGGGAAAATCAATCGAAGAGGCTATAAAGTTACATAGATTGAGATGGCTAGGTCACGTGCTGCGCATGCCTAACCATCGCCTCCCCCGACGGACGGGCATTACTAGCTGATATAGGTGCAGGTTGGAAAAGAGTAAGTGGTGGCCAAACAAAAACATGGCATCAATCAATCCATGAAATCCTTGACAGTTAAACTGAGTCAGGTAGGGAGGGAGATGCAGACTTCCGGGTTGGGGCCCGCCCTCGGGACTCTAAGAATCAATCAATGGCTGGAGACAATAGGTGACATGGCTCAAAATCCTCGTTGTCAATGGCTTACGCAGATGTATTCAGTCTCTGTAATCTTTCATATTCCTTTCTACCATTACTCACTCTGTTTCACTCTTATACTTGTCAAAACTCTATTGATTCTCTTCACCCATTTTCTTGTCTACCTTTGTGTGGTATTTGGAACGTGGCAACTCGAACTGTTGCACTTCAGTGCCAAGTTCTATGTTGAATCCAGACAGAGAGACAGACAAACAGTGTGAACCATATATGGAGGGGTGTGTAAACCATATTGTTGGGGTCCTTGGGATGCTGTGATCAAATGGTGATATGCCTTGAAATCATGCTCACTGGTGGAGATGCATTCACTTGTTATTATTTCCTGTATCCTTTATACCCTCATGCTTCTCTTGTATAATTCTTTTCAGTAAGGTTCCTTTGAATTTTCTGGTTTTCTTTGATTTTTTTTCTGCTGCATGGAGTGTGTTAACTCGCACTGTTGCGCTTCTAAGCAAAATTCTACGTTGAAATACAGTTAATCAGCCAGTCAGTCAGTCTGTCGGTCGATTGGTTTGTATTTCCACTACAGGGAATAATACAATGAATTGTAATGGATAACACTTTTGATGATATTAGATGGTTGGAGGCAATTGGTCACAGGAAGCCTTGCCTGACCTAGATTTCGTGCTTGTTGACACTTATCAGTCAGTCAGTAAGGCGTATTTGCAATCACCTTGAAAGTACTCATGCTCCTCTTTTCTGATATTCGAACCCGCCTCACCCAGTACTGGCTGCAATCAGAGAAGACGTTACCACTGAGCTATTCGAGCTGGCTCGCGATTGACCTCCCGTAGGTAGGCCGAACTGTACTGGATACTTTGATTGGACACTAGTCACTAACTAGTGTGATGTGTCTAGTGTCCTTTCTTTGGAGGCAGACTGGATTCTATCAGCAGTCAGGTTTGCAATGTGGTCCAGCATTCTAGGTAGCTAGCCATCACTTTCATTGTGTTGAATACAGAACATATCTGTAGTTTCTTCACACACATATAAACTCACTAGTAAAGGGAATCAAACTCACATTTGAATCAGAAAATGAACAAGGAGAATTAGCTGTGATGTTAAGTTGTAAAATAAAACGAACAAAAGAAGAAGGTAGACTGCACACTAAATAGAGTTTATAAAAAGCCAACACATTCTAATAGATATTTAGACTTTAATTCATCTCATCCGTCGGTATCTGTGAGGACAGGCCTTAGTTAAGTGTCTAACAAACCGAGCAGTAGCACTGAGTAGTACATCAAAAACCTAAACGATGAAATGAAACAGATAGAAGAGGCGTTGGTGTTGAATAACTATCCTATAAAATTCATTAGGAAGATCAGTAAAGGCCAAAAACAAAGTAAAAATAATTGTGGAACTAGTAATGATAACATGAATAAGAGAGAATATAAGTCATCCACTGTTATACCATATAAGGAGGGGACATCTGAGACCCTACGTATAGGATTCTTAATAAAGCAGGAACTAGAGTGGCATTTAAACCTACAAACTCACTCAGGTAGGACAAACTCCGTAAGTTAAACGAACCTGTAGGTTGACCCAATTAAACAAAATAATATAATCTACAAAATACCCTGCAATGACTGTGGGTAAGGTCAACTACATAGGTCAAACTAGTAGATCGGGTCAGTAGTGAGATTATCCGAACATAACAATTTAGCTAAGTGTAGAATGATTGACCCCACGAAGGTAAGTAATTTAGACAAATGCTTAGCAATAGCACTACATGCATCAACACACAACCACACAATAGCATGGTGGGTGAGAGTTGAAATTCTAAAAAGTAATATAGGTAGGTGGAGAGAGAGAGAGAGATTGATTACTGAATCCTGCTTGGTTCATGGAGTCTACACCCAACACATGCAACAGAAATGACTCAATGCAAATACCAGAGGTGTGGAAGATATTACTACCATTCATCAAATCAAGAGATGAGAAATAAGGAAATCATATAAAAAAGTTAGAAAGTTATGTGAGTAATGTCTTGATATGATTATGAGCAGTAATAAATTACGCTCGAAACGTGTTCATTAGTAAATATTATTATTTTCTATAGTTGGTTTGTAAGGAATAGTTTTTGTTTTTAAGAGTTGATCACGGATTGATATATCAGTTAGAGAACCATTGAAAACCAGCCACAGGGATTACTGGACAGCTGTTTCGTCCTAGTTTAGGAATCATTAGCAGTACGCACCCACCACAGTGGACTTCGAACCCAGGACCTTCCGGTTACACGTAAACCATTCAGCCACTGGGACTCAATTCAATGGAGAACACTTATTAATTCTAACTTCTGCCGATGATTCCCAAACTAGGATGAAACAGCTGGCTGTCCAGTACTCCCTGTGGCTGGTTTTCAATAGTTCTTTAACTGATATATCAATCCGTGATCAACTCGTAAAAATATTACTATATATATAACAGCACTGTGAGACATTATCAAAATAAACATTTTTCTCATTATTATAATGGAACTTTCCTATTAATCATATTATCAAGTTTGATATTGTTATTTTGATTGCCACGCCTTTTTATTAAATTAAATATTGTTATGAATCACAATTAATGGACGATCGATAGTGTGACAGATAAGCTTTGTCTTATACTGTAAAGCATAATTTCATTTCAAATACGTATACGTTTAAGTGTTTGTTTAGGTGTGGCATAGTCTGGTAGGTGGGCCCTTACTTACGCACACGTACACAACAAACACATACACGATATAAACAAGAATTAATTCCAATGCGTATTTTATAGTATTGAACATTTTCACAGACAGATGAGAAATAATTCGATAGTGGCTAGACATTAGATTGTTGTCTTTGTGTATATTTGTGTGTGTGTATGTGTGTGCGTGTGCGCGCGTGTGTACAAGTTGAAGAGAATACTTAGCATTCTTTGTTTGACCTTTCATTAGCTGCCTATTTCTTTTTCACATGATTTGCTTGCTGCGCACGCGTCACTCTCGGACCAGTGCCTGGCTGACTGACTCATCACTTCCTATTCGGATTACCCTCATATACACGAAACATATATATATATACATATATATATATATATATATATATATATATATATATATATATATGTTTGACCGTAAAAGACAGAAGCCAATGCTTAGTGTGTGCGTCGGTAGCACAGCGGTTAGGACTCTCGCTGACCATGCACATGGTCTGGGGTTCGATCCCTTGCCGACGCACACCTGATATCAATGGTCGGCCTGCAAAATTTGGGCTACGGTTATCACATGCTGAAAATTCCATACTTGTACCAAAAATACTGTGTGGTTTCAAGCTATAATCAAAATATAAGTATAAAACTTGGATGTGAAGCATAACTCCATTATGGATAAGATTTTATTTTGATAAATCACACAGTGTTGTTATACAGTAATATTAACTGATAACGTTTCGAGCACAAACTATTGCCACTCATAATCACATCAAGTCACTCACTCACACAACTTTCTTGCTTCATTTATATACATGAGTGGGATTGGTGATTAGACATTTGAATAAAAATCAATATGGGATAATGTACATTCAGAAATAATAATACGAGTGTCATCAATCAAATACAATCAGATGGGAAATAAGACGAGTGTTTTTTATAGTAGAAATAAGTTACTTGTTAGAATGTTATGATGTGTTTGAATTGAAATAGAATTTTAAGATTATTTATTATCCTCCTCTGATTTGACTGAACTGGTGGTAATAATTTCTTCTATATTTCTGGTATTTGTATGGAGTCATTTCTGTTGCATGTGTTGTATTGGGTGTAGACTCAATGAACCACGCAGGATTCCGTAATAAACCTCTCTCTCCACCTACCTATGTTGCTCTTTAGAATTTTAACCCTCTCCCACCCTATTGTGTGGTTGTTTGTTAATGCATGCAGTGCAATTGCTGAGCTGTTTTCTAAATTGCTTATCTTTTCAGGGTCAACCATTCTTCCCTTAGCTAAATTCTTATGTTCTGATAATCTGACTACCCATGACCTACTAGTTTGACCTATGTAGTTGACCTTACCCACAGTCATTGCAGGGTATTTTGTAAATTATATTATTTTGTCTAATTGGGTCAACCTACAAGGTCCTTTAACCTACAAAGCTTGTCCCTGAGTGAGTTTGAAGGTTTGAATGCCACTCTAGTTCCTGCTTTATTAAGAATCCTACGTAGGGTCTCAGATGTCCCCTCGTTATATGGTATTACAGTGGACCACTTATATTCTCTCTTATTTGTGTTATCATTATTAGTTTCACAATTATTTTTATTTTGTTTTTGGCTTTTAGTTATCTTCCTAATGAATTTTATAGGATAGTTATTATTTAACACAAACGCTTCTTCTATTTCTTTTTTATTTCATCATTTAGGTCTTTTTTTGTCCATCCTTATAAAAATAAATAATGAAATAAATAACTTTGATGTGGTCAGCGAGTACCACTTGTATCGAATAGATACTCTACACACTTCGTACATAGAGAAAACGGAGGTAATGAAGATTCCTGGCCAACATCAACAGCAACAACCGACAACAATCAGCATAAATGGGAGGAAGCTGAAGGAAACAACTTCTTTCACCTACCTGGGAAGCATCGTCTCAACTACAGGAGGAACTGACGAGGATATCAAAGCCAGAATCGGAAAAGCAAGACAAGTTTTCATTTCTCTCAAGTCTATGTGGAGGTCAACAGCATTCAGCGTCAAAAATAAGATCCGTATTTTCAACTCCAATGTGAAGTCAGTACTACTATACGGATCAGAGACTTGGCGTGTCACAAAGAGCAGCTCAAACAAGCTACAGACCTTCATTAACAAATGCCTTCGCTCAATACTCAAGATCAAATGGCCGGAGAGGATCAGCAACAAAGATCTCTGGGAGCGAACCAACCAGGAACCGATCGTAAAACAAATAGGCAGGAAGAAATGGAGATGGGTTGGACACACTCTGAGGAAACCAGCAAGTGACATCACTAGACAAGCCCTCGAGTGGAACCCGAAAGGGAAGCGACGAGTTGGTCGTCCAAGGGTGACCTGGAGGAGATCATGTGAAGAGGAATTGAAAGCGTGTGGGCAGACTTGGAGCCAGGTGAAAACTACAGCAGAGAACCGAACGCAATGGAGACGCATGGCTGAAGCCCTATGTTCCTCTAGGAATTAAAGGAAATAATAATATAAATAATAATATAATAATAATACACTTCGTATTATTATTATTACTATTGCTTCCATTAGTTCCTAGAGGAACATAGCGCTTCAGCCACACGTCTCCATTGCGCTTGGTTTCTCGCCAACTCTTTCACCTGGCTACACACATTTTCCCATATGCTTTCATCTCCTCTTCGCACCACCTCCTCCTTCTCCATGTCACCATCACACTGACGACCAACCCACCACTCGAGTGATGGCCTGGCGTGCGATGTCACTCACTTGATGGTTTGTTTTCTCAGAGTATTGCCAATCCACCTCCATTTTTTCCGGCATATTTTGTTGCACGACTGATTCATGCTGGGTTGGTTTGCTTCCAGAGATCCCTGTTGCTGGTCTTTTCTGACCAGCCATCTTATCTTGAGCGAAGACACCTGTTGATGAAGTTCTGTAGTTTGTTCGAAGTGCCTTTCGGGACGCGGCGCAGCGCCAAGTCTCTGATCCCTGTAGTGAAGCACTGACTTCACATTGAAGTTGAAAATCCGGATCTTATTTTCATTTTCATGCTGAGCGCAGTTGATCTCCACAGAGACTTTGTGAGGGAAATGAAAGCTTACCTTGCTTTCCTGATCCTCGCTTTGATATCCTCATTAGTCCCGTCCACCTGTAATTGAAGCGATGCTTCCCAGGTAGGTAGGTAGTTAGGTGAAGGAGGTAGCTTCTTTCAGATTTTTCCCATCTATGCTGATGGTTGCCTGTTGTTATTGAAGTTGCTGTAGGTCAGAAATCTTCATCACCTCTGTTTTCTCTATGTTCAGGTCAATTCCTATATTCAATGCTTCTTCTTCTTCTATAGTTGATTTGTCAGAGTTAGTTCTTTTTTTACGAGTTGATCACGGATTGATATCAGTTAGAGAAACATTGAAAACCAGCCAGGGACTACTGGACAGCCAGCTGTTTCATCCTAGTTTGGGAGTCATTAGTAGTACGCACCCACTACGGTGGGGTTCTAACCCAGGACCTTCCGGTTACAAGGTGGGCTTGTATACCATTCAGCCACTGGGACCCCGATTCAGTGTCTCATGAATTCTATCGCCAATTTGTTGCTTTTCACGCACACTTTCTATATTTCAATAATTTTGTATTTACTGATAATTTGTGCATGTACCCCATTTCTTTGTTTTTTGTTTTTTATTTGTTCTCTTCCATTCCTATTCTAGTGTGCACATTCACAAACAAGTAAAAGTAGCAGTAGAAGTACAAGTCGTCGAGCAAGTGAAATAGCTCCTCAAATGCCGAATAGAACGTGTTATTTTGTCCCAGAATCATATTCTGTACCTATAGAATCTATTGAAGCTGAGATCGCCCATCCACATACACAAACACGTCTCCCAGTCGGTGCATTACCACATATATGGGGTCAATCCTTGTATATTCTAGCAAGTATCATTTATGAAGGTTTATTGTTACCAGGGGAAATTGATCCACTTGGAAGACATATGGTATGTGATTGTATAATTTTATTTATATATATTTTTTTATTTTATATTTTATAGTTGAGTCATTTTTTTAATGTATGTATACACCGTTTTGTTTGATCATTCCGATAAAGTTAAACTATCACCACGCAATGGAATACGAACACACGACTGACCTTGAGTCGACCAATCAGAAAAGCCGGCGGGTTTTACATAAAATTGACGTTTATTTACAAGAGAATAATAATAACAATAATTGGTAGAAGTTAGAATTCATGAGCCATTGAATTGGGTTCCAATGGCTGGATGGTATACGAGCTTGCCTTGTAACCGGAAGGTCCTGAGTTCGGAACCCCACTGTGGTGGGTGCGTACTACTAATGATTCCCAAAATAGAATGAAACAGCTGGCTGTCCAGTACTCCATGTGGCTGGTTTTCAAGGGTTCTCTAACTGATATCAATCCGTGATCAACTCGTAAAAATAATACTAATAATTTGCTTTATTCGAAAATAGTACTGTAACAACAGAAGACAAGGGCCGGGCAACAGATCGTTTATTAAGGAAATCGAAGCATATTTATATATTTTCTTGTACATTATTATAGATTAGTTAAGCAAATAAACGCAGTCTTCTGAGTGGTTGTTTCTTACTTAAAGTTAATCTTTCATCTTTTTGTGGTTGTTTCTTGAATGTCAGATCATCTGCATGTTGACTGTATCCGCCTACGCAAAGTCTGCTGTGGTCGGTTTTGAATCAGTCTTTGTTCATATTTTCTCACGACAAATCTTGAGAACGTTAAAAAATTGACGTCAATTACTGTCTACCAATTTGGCTAGTAGACAGCTCTCATTACACTTCTACCCTGCCTATACTCAAACTGTTTGGGATGATTATTGATAATGATAAATCACACTGAACAGGATATTTTCCCGTGATGTGACTTAAAACTGTCTCCCAATTATAACGAGGACTATCAATTTTTAGGTCGAATCACTTACTGTACGTGTATTCATTGAGTTGACTGCAGATGAGTTCTTTTGTTGACCCATTTATCGCTTTTATCGCGTTTTCAGCCTCCGCTAAAAGTCCTTCATTGAATTCATATAGGTTCTAGTAAGCGAATTTACAACACTTATCCCAAAACTTAACCAAACCTTAATGACTACCCTCACCCTAATCTTAATCCTTATCCTAACTTTAGTCCTAACACTAACCCCAATCGTAACCTCGAGCCTTAAAAGTTATCAACACATTATCGAAATAGTACTAGGAAAAGATATCGGGTTGAAATTCGCACCTCAGTTCCTTTAATGTGGAGCTATAATCATGGCATGTCCCGTTATCAAACAACTAGTATGCATTCAAAGTCGTCGGTGTGTTTTGGAACGTTATCCTTTGACTTGGTCCCCATTCCCTTCTTCTCTTGATGTAAAAATGGAATTTGGGTACTGTATGGTAGAGTATATTCCTGTCATATCATTGCTAAATAAGCTCTCTTTGGCGAAAACTGAGTCCTGGGTCACTAACTGGTTGCATTCCTACTTCTCTAACAGAATGCAGTACACCGTATACAAAGGTAAATCATCCTTTTTTTTTTTTTATTTATTTATTTATTTTGATTACAGCTTGATTCCACACCGTATTTACAGTACAAGTATGGAATTTTCAGCGTAGATATCGGTTGCCCAAGTTTCAGGCTGACCATAGATATCGGGTGTGCGCCGGCAGGGGATCGAACCTCGGACCATGTACATGGTCGGCGAGAGTCCTAACCACTGTGCCACCGACGCACACTCTGCTGCACTCACTGAAGCCGGAGTCCCCCAAGGCGCTGTACTGTCCCCACTTCTCTTTTCTTTCTTTCTACATGACTTACCATCTTCAAATGACATTAATTTTGTCAAATACGCTGACGATCTGTCTGTATCTTTGCCTATCAAATGTCAAAGCGACAGCTCTAAACTTAATGGCTTTCTGTCAGAAATCAGCCAGTGATCCAAGGAAAATGGTCTTACTCTAAACCCCTCCAAATGCCAAACAGTCAATTTCACCTTTAGGCATAAATCCGACCTAAACAAACTGGTTGGCTCTCACGAGGTATGCAACATAGACGGCACTGAAATAGAAACTAAATCGGAAATTAAATACCTAGGTGTCATTCTATCTGCTGATCTCTCCTGGTCGTCTCATATCTTAGCAATTTCTAAGAAAATATTCCGTCTTACCTTCTACATTAAGAAGTTAAAACATTCTGGTATTACCCAACCCTTACTCCTACAATTCGTTAATTCTCGCATCCTGCCTATTATTCTCTATTGTTCCCCCTTAGTTTTTCCCGGGCTACTGAAGAAAGACTATAACATATTACGCAGGATGTTAAATGTTGTCAGCAGAGTAAGCAACGTGCCACTTAACCAGCTTGTTAATATTTTGGTTGACAGGCACATGGACTCATGTGAGAAATGGGCCAAATCCATTTTATCTAACTCACACCACCCTCTTCACTCACAACTCTCCCCTTGCATCTCATCAGGTAAAACAAGAAGCCAATATAGAAAACTATATGCTCGCACCAGCAAGTACAAAAACTCAACCATACCCTACTTAGCTCGTGTTCTGTGTGATAAAGAAAGCATTAGGCGTGACACCTATAATTCATTAAATAGTCATTAGTACAACTGGATCTCCTCTTTCCAACCCACTTCATCAATAGGTACAACATTTTCTTTCTTTCTTTTCCTTTTCTCTCTCTTCTTTTTCCGTTATGTGCTGCTTTGTCTCTTTCTCTCGCTTACGCCAGTTAATAAGACAGCTCCCACTTTTCCAACACCTTCAAACACTGTTTCAGCTTTACCTTTGCTACTGAACATGCCACTGTATTGTTGTAATAATGAACTGTGGTTTCCTCAATCTATGTAGAATTCTATTTATTGATAATGTACTAACTGGATGCAATACTGTAGTAAAAATGCTGAGAATTCCATTCTGTATCACAAGTACTGTTTTGGAATAAAGCAAATTATTATTATTATTATTCCATCGGGTTCCGAGTGGAATAAAGGGCTTCAAAAACACCTCTCCACTTTGTTCTATCTTCTGATGTCCTCTACATCTGGTTCCACGATTGCCCATATTCTCTCATCTCCTCCTTCTCCTTGCCACACGATCTCCTCCATGTCAACCTCTCACCGACGACCCACTTGTCGTATCCCTTTTGGATTTCACTCGAGTAACGGCCTGCATTGTGCGCGATGTCATTCGACGGCCTCCTCAACGTATGCCAGATCCATCTCCATTTTCTCCTACATATTTGTTGAGCTGTCGGTTCTCGCCTCTTAGTATGTTCCACTGCAGAGATTTTTGTTGCTAATTATTTCTGGCCATTTGATCTTCAATGTGGAACCAGCCAGTGTAGGAGGCAGCTGTTGATAAAAGTCTGCAACAACCTCTTTGAAATGCTTTTCGTGAAATGTTCGCGGGGCAAATTTCTGACTCGTATAGAAAAAGTGACTGGCTTCACATTTGTGTTGAAAATCCGGACAAATGTTATTGTTTACGCTGTGGAGTGGAGAAGATTCCCAAATTGCTTTCATGTCGATGAAAACGTATCTTGCCTTTATGACTCTGGCTGGCTTTGATTTCTTCATCCCTTCCGCTGGCCTGAAGTTGAAACGATGCTACCTGGCCAGGTAAGTGTAGGCACTAAGTAACCTCTGTCAAATCTCTCCCGTTGATGGTGACTGATGCTGGTTGTTGTTGCTTTTGTTTGTTTGTTTGGTTATCTTCATCACCTCCGTCTTCTGTGTGTTCTCCTGGAGTTCTGTCCTATCATTGTATTATTTTATTTGATAAAATCCCACACGCACACACACAGTGGTGATATAGTATTATTCATTTACTGCACCTTATAATCATATGAAGCTGGTCACCTACATAACTTTGTTTATATCATTTCTTGTCCTTTGATTATGGTTAAAGAAGGCATGACCAGATTTACAGTATAAAATGATACCATTCTATTACAGAGGTCCTCATCAGCTGCTGCAACCTACCTGTAATTGCAGTAGTTATAAATAATGACAATAACATACTTCAACGTTTGAATGGTGGTAGTAGAGAAAACATTATAAAATCAACTCATCAGTAATATTGTGGTGAGAGCTGTCTACTAGCCAAATTGGTAGACAGTAATTTACGTCAATGTTTACGTTCTCAAGATTTGTCGTGAGAAAATATGAACAAGACTGATTCGAAAACCGACCACAGCAGACTTTGCGTAGGCGGATACAGTTAACATATAGATGATCTGATATTCAAGAAACAGTCACAAAGAGATGAAAGATTAACTTTAAGTGAGAAAGAACCACCAATCAGAAGACTGTGTTTGTTTGCTTAACTAATCTATAATAATGTACATGAAAATATATAAATATGTGTTGATTTCCTTAATAAACGATCTGTTGCCTGGCCCTTGTCTTCTGTTGTTACAATATAAGCAGCATTACAACTGGCTTCAGTTTAAGTTACCATCACTGTATATGCCTTTCGAAATAGAAAAGGAACGGATAGGGTGGGGGTGAGGAGAATAAACAGAGTTAGCTTGTGGATCTAGATAACAATTCAAGGATGTTATAGTCCACAAAATTGAAAACTTGATCAATGAGCTGAAATCCCCAGTGCATATGACTAATCAATGTAACCAAAATGTAATTACCACGGGAATGAGTTAGAGATTGATTACCCTGTCTCTTTCTGTATGCCCTAAATTTGCTTTGCTTTACGCTTGATTGCAACTCATTCAGCAAATCGTAGTAAATTGAAGGATTTGGAAATCTCAATGAAACGCCTTACATCCACAAGGTGTCTGATTGTAACACTTTGTGAATATCTACCTCGTTTTTGGGCATAAGTTCCTTGGGATTTGCTCTGAAAATACCAGATATAGAAGTGCTTCTTTCTGTCCCTCCAATGTACTTGCTACCTCAAATGCCCTAAATTTATAAACACAGTTAGAAGTGATATC